AACAAGATAATGGAGGCTATACTATTTTATATGCGGATTTTTAAAAGTGAAAGGGTCGCGGAGGAAGACGGCGATATTACATTTAGAATAAATTCTGGAATTTTCAAAAATGGTTGAAGAATTAATAAAATTTTGTATACTTTTAACATAATTATTAACTAAATTTTATTAATTCTTCTCCCATTTTTGAAAATTCCGGAATCTTTATCTTTATCTTTACTACTATATAAAGAGACAACGTATTTTTCGTTTGTGACCACTAACCGTGAAAACTACTGAACCAATCGTTACCAAACTTTGACTGTAGCATCTTTATGATCCCTGGAATGTTTACCATTAATCAAATCTACAGATTTTTTATTAATTAAATAAAATTGCAACGGGTTTTTGTCTGTCTATTTCTCTCTCTCTCTCTCTCTTCACTAGATGGCGACACACGCTGTCTATAAGAAAAGTCTATTATATTTGAAGAACTGACATTAACATAAGCGTTTTCTCAAAACTGTAAGTCAGATCGGCCCACCTCGGTTAGTTGCGCTAATAAATCTTACTCCGTTAGGCGCGAGGGGTACTATTGTATCCCACTGATTTCCATTGTGGCTCTATGTAAAAAAATTTTTTCGTGCAATTTTGAAATTTTTTCGGTGCGATCTTCACACCACCGAAGGAAGGTACTGAGGGCATCATTTTTCAACATTAAAAACATTAAAAAATACACGCGTTTTAAGATGTCTGGGAGACTATTGTCCCCCGCGCGCCTAACCGTGAGTTTAATTTAAAAAAAAAATTATGGTTTCCTTATTCGATAGAACAATTTAAAGTGGAAATGTAACAAGATTTGATGTCTGTAATTAATAAATACAGTTTACAGGAAGTCGGAATTGCACGGTAGCGAATATTTTTTCCGGTTTTACAGGTTTTAGTTTTGAACAAGATTTTGTTTTTAACATAGAAAATCGCTCTGTTCGACTAACTTTTCCTGTTTAGGCAGGTTTCCGCTTTATTCATGTTTCACTATATTTAGTTAATTCGTTCGCATTATTAATAGTAGAAGGCCTTCAGAACAAAAACACAGGGTGGCCTGAAAGTCGCCTTCTTTCACAGGTATTCTGAATATATTATATAATTATAATATATTTGTAAAATCTAACACGAGAAATAAATTATAAACATATCTCTTACGAAATACTTGTTTTTATACATTTTAATTAGAACAAATCCGTGAAAGTAACAAATAAAATAAATTTATGTTAATTATACAAAATTGTCGCTGGAATCTTTTCCATGTTGCACAATTACTCAGCTACTTTATAAAATATCTTTTGAATTCTAAATTTTTTAAAAATGCGAAATTATTTTCGTTTCTAGATCTAAAGAATTATTTTAGTTTAAGATCTATGCATTGAAACAGGAATAAGTAACAAACAAAACAAAAAATAGATAAAAATATGTTAGAAATTCAGTTGGTAGCGCCTTGGCACCAGACCTGTCTGATCACATGGTGTTTTTGGATTTTCTTCACTTTTTCTAACACCTGGATAGGGTTTCCTACAGAAAGTCCTTCAGTAAGTCACTACTCCTTTACAAATTTCCCAAGTATTGCGTGTATGGCATTATATCATTAACCCAGTACAATGACTATGATATAGTCTATTACCATTCAAGTAAAACTCACTCAGCAAAACGTAAATCAAAACACCACACCTTGAGTTGCTGAGAAATTTAATAAAAAACGCAACAAACGTTTTCAGCCAAATCTGTTGGCCATCACCAGGTTAAAGCTTAATAATTCCTTTACATTTTGTCGAAAAATTATGAAATTTTGCACGAAGATTTCTATGTTATGGGAATCGATTTTGGTAGTTAAAGGTCGAGGGAGTGAAGAGATACGTGTCTTATTTCTAGTACAATCGGATTTAATTAACATTTTACACATTGTTATCATTTACAATTATTTTATAAAACTCATCTCTACCCTCAAAATTAAGCACTTTGCCAATTTTATAATAACTAATTTTTTAATAAGCTTTCTACATCTGGACTTAACTTTCATCTATCTAACACCACTCTCGAGATTAATTAAAACAGGACAGTCAGGCTGACGACAGTGGGAATTCATAGATCCACAAAGTTTATTCAAATTGCAGCCCGAAAAGTTTTTAAATTAAAATATCGTAACAGATGGCGACATACGCATTTTTAAATACTGTATTGCCGGAAAATTTATGCAACTCGTTTCTCTTCATTTAAACGTTTTGGTCAGAGCCCGTTACTCAGAAGTTTGACTGTATTTTTTTGTGTTAATTTTATTATCGCAAGTTTATAATTTCGAATTTTTTAATTGTTGATAATATTTTTAAAAAATTATATGGAAATTGTTAAGCTTTTATATTAATTTTCGAAAATGTAATAGTTTTAAAAATAGACATCGTTTGTTACAACGGAGAAGCAAGATAAAGTGCAATTGTAGTTACTGTATTCGCATTTTTACCGGATGCTCGCCCTCTGGTGTTTAAAAACAAAACTATTCTATCTGGGTCGTTTGATTCATTCTTGTGTATTATCACTTATCAGCAGTACAGATGAAAAGCGATAGAAAAAGCAACGCTTTCTGTTGGTTCCAAATTGCAATTTCAAAGTCTTACGAGAGCCTGATATAGGTTTTCGTCTATTCTCACACGAAAAACGGGAAAAACAGATGATTATTCGGAAATTGATCGGTTATATTTATGAGCTGTGAATTCTGAAAGAGTAGATTAGACTGTTAAGAATTGGCAGTTTCTCGATTGTCCAGCTTTCACGAACAAGTTATGCTGTCAATTTTAAAACATTTTGTTAAAGTTTAAAATGCCAGTAATTTTGTGTAGGACACAGGGCCGGATTTAAGCATTTCGAAGCGCTAAGCTGAACTCTGTAAGGTCCCTTACTAATCCTACACAATTTTAGAAGTCAATCATAAAAAGAATTAAATCAGACTATGACTGATTTAATACGGATATTGGAAGAAAAAGACGTGAGGTTTCACTAGTCTTCTGTTTTATAACTAAGTTTAATTAAATTTTTATACCCATTCCATTAAAAATCTTTTTTTTAAATTGGTTTTATCCATTTTTTTAAAAAAGATCTTACGTTAATTCTTAGAAAAAAATTAATGAAATACTACACAAAATAAACAGTGAAGTATATTTTGTTGGTTTATAAAAAATGCTTATTACAAAATCTGACTTCAATTTTCTTTTTTGTACAAATGTCTGAGGTCCCTTGAAAGTCGAGGCTTTTTACTTGTAAATCCGGCCCTGATGTGACAATGTCAAACTTGATGTTTTTTAACACAAAGGGCACACATATGTATAGAACGATCTCGCCCATTTGTTTCCATACCCCATAATGACGTGTTCCGCTAACAATAATTGTTCTCCTTCTATAAAATTTCTCGATAAACAGCTACAGGCAGCATATATCATTATATCGGACAGTAATATATGATTAATTTTACATTACTAGTTACAAGCGACCCAGATAAAGTAGCCATTTTGTAAAAAATGCAGCGCCCTCTATAGTTCATGAAAAACGCGAATAGCGTATTGCATTTAGTGCACGTAGGCGAACAATAGAATTACAAAAACAATATAAAGTGTGTATAATTCTATTTAAATAGCTTTCAAATATTATTTCTTTTCATGTACTTTAATTTTAAATTTTAATTAAAAACTCTACAGAAATAATTTTTATTATTGTAATAATTATTGCTTTATTTTGTTTTCAGTTAAGAAAAACATCAGTTGACCTATTATATTTTTTAATATTGTACAATATATATAAACTTCGAAATAAAACCTATTTTTAACATTAAATTACATTAATTAATTAATATTTGACAGTAAAAATACTTGCCAGAAACTAAACATTACCTTCCAGTAACTCGAATAGCATCAACAGCGAAGCAAATTACACAATTTCATAACATAACTAAATAACTAATTATTTATATTTATACTTTTATGCATTTGTTTCAATATTTAAAAAATAAAGCACATCCTTGTCTCATATAGGCCTAATTAAATTTGTGAGCTGAATGTTGACTGGTGTCACACATGATACCAATGCATTTTAAATTTTAAAAGGAACTTTGTACACGCGATTTTGACAGGTAATATCAGGTGTTGTTAATTTTTTTAGATTCTATTGAATAGTTCGGTAGTCCAGTGTAACCATACCTTTTCTCAGAATAATGTTTTTAAATGCATAAAATAAAATACATACGACCAAAGAGAACGAATAAAATTGAAATACATACTAATAATTTTGAAGTAGTGACGATATGCCCAATAACTTTAACAATTACAATGTGACATGAAAATATTTGCGGTTTCTTCTGGTAAAAAATCCAGCGGTGTTGTTGACACTGATATGATTTCCCACTTAAATTCATGTTTAAAAAAATGCTAAATTTCATTTGTATTAACGTTATTTGTAATGATGAAATATTTTCCTATCCAAGTTCACTGAATCGTTAAAACCTATCTACCTGTATTTCACGGACACCGGTGCGTGGAATATTAATACAGATTAAAAATTTTTGATTTATTTGAAAGTAAAAATAACATTATCATTTTATTATAGTTTAAGTTCATTTAACTTGAACGTTAAGTAAAATATATTTAGAAAATATTACTATAGAAATTGATATGTTATGTTATCATTGAATATACTTACTTAAATAATTTTTTAGAATTTACTTTTGAATCTCATAGGTTTTTTCAATTACAGTACAGTCGCGCGAATCCGAATCCTTGATCATCCGAACTTCTTGTAATCCAAACAATTGTCATTCCTGTTACTAAAATAATGAACTTGTAAACTTTACACGTGGACTCACGTGTAAATTAAACATAAATCATGTGTAGTGAGCATTGCTGCTCATTCTTTCTACACCCTGTTTGACTTTACAACAATTCTAACTTCTATTTGCTGCTTTACGTATTTCTTACAAAAGTAAAAAATAGCCTGAATGAGTAAGAATCAAATCCTCATTACTCCGAACTACCACTCGATTAGTTCCAATTAGTGCGACTGTACTATAATTGTTTTTTTGTTCTCTTGTAAATTAACTAATCGCTTGATTCCATTCAGATAAAACAAATAAAATAATGTGAATGATTCAATATAAAATAATTATATGATAATTAATCACAAAATAAATTTTTATTGATGTGTTTAAATTAAAAATAAGTTTTTTTATTTCAGGAATTTGTTTGCTCCTGTAATAATGATTTACAATATTGTCGAATATACATGGAAAAAATTGTTTGTACTTATCTGTGAAGATGATTATTATTTTCAAGTTTATGGTAAATATTTTCTTATAATTTCAATTTAATAAATACTTTATATTATTTATATACAGGAACTGCTGATAACAATGTTTTGTAAACTAACCATAAGAAATTGTTTTATTGTCTCTCACATTTGAATATCAAACAGTAATTATAATTAAATAAAATTTCATAAACAAATTTCTGATAATCTCAAATAATTAATTCCCATTATAATGGTGCTATAAAAATTTAAGTAAGTTTATGGCAATATATTTTTTAATTGGGCTGCAATTCAAAAGAAAAAATATTGTATACATATAAATTCAAACTGTCGTCCGTCTGCTTGTCTATTCTTTCTTAATCTCGGGAACGGTATCAGATAGATAAAAGTCGAGACCAGATACGGGAAGCTTAGGGGTAGGAGACCTTGATCAAGCATATGCAAACATCGGGTTTGTATCGAAATTCACATTATTTCAATTTAAAAATGTTCCCCTAAACGGAGTAAGAAAGATGACCTGTACGACTCTGTTGTCAATAGAAACGTTTGATGTACTGGGGCAAGACACTACTATAATTAAGGCTAATAAATCTATAAACACATTTTTGGCTGCTGGGATTCGCTTTTATTTAGCAAACCTAGGTTAATAGGCCATCGTGAAGCTACAATCTCTCTTGGAACATATTTTACCGTTAAATATCGTTCCAAAATAGATTACAATAAAAGAATAATAACGTTTACATATTTAAATATAAAGCGAAATAACTAAAAATGAATATAAATAACGAATAACTGTAAAATGTGAAATAAATTACTTAAGAATATACAAAAACATAACAATTATGATCTTTTAACAAACTTATTTCGTACAATGTACCGTACTTCCATGGCTTTGCTAGGCTGTCGATATCGCTTGCATTAATGCACTTATCTTTCAACCGTATTTTTGTATATTTCAAGTTTTTCAACGTTATGTGCTAATATAGAGGAGTGTGCAGACTTTAAGTCTGTACTGTACTGTACATCTAAAGACTTTGCCTCTTCCCATTCTATCATTTAGCCTTTAGTCTGCGCTAACCCGGAGAATACTGTTTCATTGGCTCTCTTTCCTACATTATATTAATGTTCATTAAGTTTAATTTTCATATTTCTTGTGATGATATCGTTCTAATCCTTGTCTATCCCCGACTGCATATTTTCATATGGTACCCCGTACACACCTGTCATTTCTTCTGTTTCTAATCTCTCCTTGTCATTTCTTAAATTCGATACTTAGTTGGGGCACTTTTTACAATTTTATTTGACTCTTCATGTTCTGCGATTTATTTCATGATGTTAGTTATATCTGTGTTAAAAGTGAATTTCGTGGTTCCACTAAGTTTGCTGTTTTTCCTAGGTTTATCATCATCAAACCTAATCAGACCTTCTATAGTGCTAGTTCTATATCATAGTGTTGTAGTCTAGTATAAGTGACAGGATACTAAACAAGGGTTACATCGGTCTCATCGCAAGGAGCTTGAAAATTAGACTTAAAGAACATCAATATAACATAAGAAAGAGATTCAATAACACAGTACTCTCAAGATTGGCGCAGACTGGGCTTAGTGATAAAATGAAAAGAAGCAAACATCTTTAAGACTGTACCTCCTTTACATTGGCGGAGAACGCTGAAAAAATTGAAATACACACAAACAGGTTGAAAGATGAGTGCATTAATGCAAGCGATATCGACAGCCTTGCAATGACATGAAAATACATTGTACAAAAATAAGTTCCTTAAAAGATCATAATTGCATCATTTCTAGTATATATTTTGTATATGTTGGGGTTATTTATCTTACATTTTACTGTTATTCATCATTTATATTAATTTTTAGTTATTTAAACTTTTCGTCACAAGTCTCTCAATTTTACTTAATTAAGTCTTGCCTCTATGCATGTTAACAACGAAATCAAAACGGCTTCAAGCTAACTCCGTTCAGGAGAAAATGTTTTAATTGAAATAACGTGACTTGCGGTTTAAACCAAACGTTCGTATATACTGTACTTAATCGAAACTATCTTTCCCTGAGGTTTCTATATATGGTCTCTTGTTTCACCTATCGGCCTATAACTCTGTTTATATTGAAGAAGGACAGACATCTGACAGGACTCCAGTGGAAATTCATAGGGCTACAATTTTAAAACCGCTACCCAATAACACAGTCTCTAGTAGACTTATGGTTGGCTCACAGAACATTGCTATCGGTTCCTTAACGAAATTATATAATTTTATCAACAGATTTTATTTGTGATATTTTCTCTTTTATTTATTTATTTATTTTTAGGTCTTTTTTCTTGGATAACATTATTATATTTTACTATTGGATTAATGTTTACGTACACGGATGTAACAGGAAAGCCAGAAGCTTTAGTACGTCTAAGAATACAAAATACTAATGCCTTTCCAGTAAGTTAAATGTATTCCGGTATTACCACTAAATTATATTTAATTTCTGGACTTTTTACATCATAATCGTTAGAACTATTAATAATTTTTAAAAGTTATGTATTATCTGAAAGAAAATCGCTTGTATTTTTTTAACATAATAAAAGTTCNTGTTTGTACTTATCTGTGAAGATGATTATTATTTTCAAGTTTATGGTAAATATTTTCTTATAATTTCAATTTAATAAATACTTTATATTATTTATATACAGGAACTGCTGATAACAATGTTTTGTAAACTAACCATAAGAAATTGTTTTATTGTCTCTCACATTTGAATATCAAACAGTAATTATAATTAAATAAAATTTCATAAACAAATTTCTGATAATCTCAAATAATTAATTCCCATTATAATGGTGCTATAAAAATTTAAGTAAGTTTATGGCAATATATTTTTTAATTGGGCTGCAATTCAAAAGAAAAAATATTGTATACATATAAATTCAAACTGTCGTCCGTCTGCTTGTCTATTCTTTCTTAATCTCGGGAACGGTATCAGATAGATAAAAGTCGAGACCAGATACGGGAAGCTTAGGGGTAGGAGACCTTGATCAAGCATATGCAAACATCGGGTTTGTATCGAAATTCACATTATTTCAATTTAAAAATGTTCCCCTAAACGGAGTAAGAAAGATGACCTGTACGACTCTGTTGTCAATAGAAACGTTTGATGTACTGGGGCAAGACACTACTATAATTAAGGCTAATAAATCTATAAACACATTTTTGGCTGCTGGGATTCGCTTTTATTTAGCAAACCTAGGTTAATAGGCCATCGTGAAGCTACAATCTCTCTTGGAACATATTTTACCGTTAAATATCGTTCCAAAATAGATTACAATAAAAGAATAATAACGTTTACATATTTAAATATAAAGCGAAATAACTAAAAATGAATATAAATAACGAATAACTGTAAAATGTGAAATAAATTACTTAAGAATATACAAAAACATAACAATTATGATCTTTTAACAAACTTATTTCGTACAATGTACCGTACTTCCATGGCTTTGCTAGGCTGTCGATATCGCTTGCATTAATGCACTTATCTTTCAACCGTATTTTTGTATATTTCAAGTTTTTCAACGTTATGTGCTAATATAGAGGAGTGTGCAGACTTTAAGTCTGTACTGTACTGTACATCTAAAGACTTTGCCTCTTCCCATTCTATCATTTAGCCTTTAGTCTGCGCTAACCCGGAGAATACTGTTTCATTGGCTCTCTTTCCTACATTATATTAATGTTCATTAAGTTTAATTTTCATATTTCTTGTGATGATATCGTTCTAATCCTTGTCTATCCCCGACTGCATATTTTCATATGGTACCCCGTACACACCTGTCATTTCTTCTGTTTCTAATCTCTCCTTGTCATTTCTTAAATTCGATACTTAGTTGGGGCACTTTTTACAATTTTATTTGACTCTTCATGTTCTGCGATTTATTTCATGATGTTAGTTATATCTGTGTTAAAAGTGAATTTCGTGGTTCCACTAAGTTTGCTGTTTTTCCTAGGTTTATCATCATCAAACCTAATCAGACCTTCTATAGTGCTAGTTCTATATCATAGTGTTGTAGTCTAGTATAAGTGACAGGATACTAAACAAGGGTTACATCGGTCTCATCGCAAGGAGCTTGAAAATTAGACTTAAAGAACATCAATATAACATAAGAAAGAGATTCAATAACACAGTACTCTCAAGATTGGCGCAGACTGGGCTTAGTGATAAAATGAAAAGAAGCAAACATCTTTAAGACTGTACCTCCTTTACATTGGCGGAGAACGCTGAAAAAATTGAAATACACACAAACAGGTTGAAAGATGAGTGCATTAATGCAAGCGATATCGACAGCCTTGCAATGACATGAAAATACATTGTACAAAAATAAGTTCCTTAAAAGATCATAATTGCATCATTTCTAGTATATATTTTGTATATGTTGGGGTTATTTATCTTACATTTTACTGTTATTCATCATTTATATTAATTTTTAGTTATTTAAACTTTTCGTCACAAGTCTCTCAATTTTACTTAATTAAGTCTTGCCTCTATGCATGTTAACAACGAAATCAAAACGGCTTCAAGCTAACTCCGTTCAGGAGAAAATGTTTTAATTGAAATAACGTGACTTGCGGTTTAAACCAAACGTTCGTATATACTGTACTTAATCGAAACTATCTTTCCCTGAGGTTTCTATATATGGTCTCTTGTTTCACCTATCGGCCTATAACTCTGTTTATATTGAAGAAGGACAGACATCTGACAGGACTCCAGTGGAAATTCATAGGGCTACAATTTTAAAACCGCTACCCAATAACACAGTCTCTAGTAGACTTATGGTTGGCTCACAGAACATTGCTATCGGTTCCTTAACGAAATTATATAATTTTATCAACAGATTTTATTTGTGATATTTTCTCTTTTATTTATTTATTTATTTTTAGGTCTTTTTTCTTGGATAACATTATTATATTTTACTATTGGATTAATGTTTACGTACACGGATGTAACAGGAAAGCCAGAAGCTTTAGTACGTCTAAGAATACAAAATACTAATGCCTTTCCAGTAAGTTAAATGTATTCCGGTATTACCACTAAATTATAATAATTAATTTCGGGACTTTTCTACATTGTAATCGTTAAAAATATTAATAATTTTTAAAAATTATATATTATCTACACGATGATTACATGTATTATGTTTTTAATATAATAGAAGTTTGTTAATCCGTTACCGGATAATTAGGAATATTCGGTAATTCTGCATATTTTAGAAAGTTGTTGATAATCCGGAAATATGCGATAATTTTTCGCGTATCGTTAGGTGCTTCTACACATGGTATTAAAGAATTGGATTAGAATGACGCCTTAAGGCAAAGCCAAGAGATGATGCCTCCGGCAGAGTAGTAATTCAAAATGTAACAACATGAAGAAAAAATATCAAATGTTAAGTTGGAATGGAGAATTTTATGCTTTGAATTAATTTTCATTATAAACGAGCAATTATTTATTGTGAAATCGTCACAATCCCAGGCTGTAATTTATCGTCACGGTGGACTTTTGGGTTTAGTAGCGTCTTGCCTCTATACATGCTACTTTTACTGTCATCAAGAGAGTCATGCCGGTCATCTAATTCTGTACAACAGAAACTTTTTGAATTGAAATAACGTGACTACCAGTCCAAAGCGGGAGTTCTTATATAGCTAATCGGGGCCTTATGCTTAAGTCTTTTCACATCTCGTTTTCATTTTCATTTACATAATACCGTTCTGGAGATTGAGAAACGACAGCCAGACTGTCGGAATTTACAATTTACAATTTTTTTGAAATTGCAGTCCAAATGTTTGCTTTATGAACATTAGCAACATTAAAGAAAATAAAATTATGGTAATTTTAACGAACGAAAAAATATAATTTTTAATAATTTTTTTCAGTTATATTAAATTAGAAAATTACTTTAAGACATCCAAAAAATATATTTAAAGTTTAAATTAGTATTTTCTTGTATTTTGTTCACAATATTAGTTACATTTTACTTCCGTTGTACTAATTTTTCTTTTTCGGCTTTGTTATATATAACAGAGGAAAAGTATGTCGATCGGTGAAAAAATGTACTAAAACTTACTATACAACTTACTATACTGGTTTAGGGTCTAATTAACAGGAGGTGGGTGTCTTTGTCAAAAAGTATTAATTTCTCTCTTTGCTAATTAGAAGCTATATCAGTATGATAAGTCAATTTATAAACAAGATCTACGTGGATAATATAAAAATAAAATTGAAATTTGTTTTATTTTCAGTTAGTGACAAATTATAGCCATATTAATGTAACAAAAAATAATAATATAATGAGAAAGTGTGTAATAGCAAATTCGGCTGCTGTAGTGAATTTTGTACAAATCTACAGAGTCTGACTCTGTCTGCTTTTTCCTGTTCGACTGTTTAGAGTAGAGCCGTTGTTTCAGTCACTCGCCTACTACGGTTAGTCTCTTGCAGGGCTGTGGAGTCGAGTAAAAATCTACCGACTCCGACTCCGACTGTTTTTTACCATCCGACTCCGACTAGGGGCAGACTTGTTACCGAAAGAGACCCGGAAATTCTGATGTCATCACGTGACATCAGAATAAAATATTCAATAAATAGAGTTGTAATAAAGATAGAGCGTAGAAACTTTTTATTCCAAAGCTAAAAGACTTCTCTAAGTAATATATAAATATTTATTCGATAGTTTTTACTTTTCCGGCTGTTATAGGCCTGTATAACAGAGGAAAAGTGTAGCGCTCGGTCAAAAAATGACCCCTCCCAAATTTTTACATTTTTGGACTCGGGACACCTTGAAATTTTGAGATATGCAAAAGATTCGAGGTTTTTTCTATATGTGTGGATGTTAGACTGTGTGCGGGGGGCATGATTTCGTTCACCCTGTTTGAAGCCTAATAATTTCTGTGGTCAGAGTGGTCAGAATACGAGTCGGATGGTTTAACACAGGAGTTAGTTATTTAAGTCAAAGTGGTTGAACTAAATCGTGTCCCCATATACATTCTAACATCTTAAGCGACAACATCTTAACGGGTTCTACTGTACTATTATAAAATGACAAAAAAGCTTACTTTGAGGGTAAAGACGAGTTTTATTTTATTTTTTTAAATTTTGAACGCTAAAAACGAGTAAAATATTCATTAAGAGATATGACACATGGCCACCTTTATGTCTTCACCCTGTCCACCTTTAATTAAGAACCAAAATTTAATAGTATTAATGCTCCTTTATATGCAAGCCACAGTGTAAAGTTTCGTTTCTTAAACTTTACCCGTTCTGAGATATTGTTTAATATCCTATTTTTATCCCGTTTTATATACATAACAAGCTGGTAAGTAAATAGGAGTCGGAGTCGGCGGATTTTTTGACGACTCCGACTCCGACTCCGACTCCTGCTAAAACATCAAAACTCCACGACTCCGACTCCGACTCCGACTCCGACTCCACAGCCCTGGTCTCTTGTCTTCTTACGGAGTGATAACGACATTAATCTACTTATGCTGCTTGGTAGAAATGCCAGCCAAATTCGCCAAATTAAAATAATATACATTATTCATTTTTCAAAATTATTTATTTCAGGTGAAAATGTCAACAGTTTATCGGGTGGTTAAACAGGTGTCGGTGAATCATTTTCTTATCACGTTCCCATTCATTCATTTTGGTCACAAACTTTTGAAATGGAGAGGAATAGAAAGTGTAGAAACAATTCCAAGTGTTCGATCGATAATTGTAGACCTTATGTTTTATTACATCATATATGAATTCTTATTTTATTACATTCATAGGTACTATTGTCTCTTAAATTATTTTTTAGTATTAAAATACTAACTGAATAGTTTGACATTTTACTCAAATATCAAATTATTCCTTGTTTATTTTAAATTGTAGTTTAAGTGAAAAAGTAATTTATATTCGTGTTTTTAAATAAGTTTTATGTGTTTGCTATTTACTTTAATTATTATTGATCCTTACTTGAACTTAATGTAATGACAACTTTTCATACAAACACACAGACACACACAACAAAGCATGAAACATCTTTGATCAAGCCCTAAATTGTATTAACGAATTATTCGCAACAACGTTACACTATTTTACTAATTACATGTAAAACATACAAAGCAGTGAAGTAAACAGTATAACACAACTCTTCAGAAACAGAAATTAATCGTTTTGTCACCCTAAAGTTGATAATAGTATTTGTGAGTAGTAGAACTAAAATTGTTGTAACTACTAACACTACAAAACATTTTCGTAATTATCTTATTTTGCGCATCGTAACAATTACCTGCACAACCATTCACACGTGTGTGCATCATGCTCAATTTACAAACAACCGCATGTTTGACGCAGTGTTATTTTGGTAAATTTTAAAACAATGTCTCCTTACCAATTTGTCTTAGCATTAGCATAAAATTAAAATAGAGCATGTCCGTTTGTGCACAGCAAAAACGGATTGAAAAATTTTTGAAATTATTGAAACAATGCCCGTAAATTTTTATCTATTCTTGATAAAAAGAAGTTCTAAGAAGACAAAATTGTCATTTGCGATTCTTTAGTTTTTGTAGCTAAGGAATAGAGAACAGTTAAACATAAACATCTGAACTTATAATGGGGGAACCTTGCATATAGGCACGAAATAAACTAATTCAGTGTCTATTTTGACTTTTGTTAAATTGCATTAGAGTGAAATCACGTGGCGCTCATGTGTAATAAAATGGGCTCATCAACTACACTTTTCACTCTGTACACCTAACTTTGCTTTCATCACTTTCTTCTATGTTGCATAATGACCTTATTCTCTAAACACTTCATTTTACTGGCACAAATTGTTACTAAATTTTTCTACTATTGAACACAAGACCGTGTTATTATTAAAACACTTGGCGTTTATTCACTTTATTCAGTTGATACGGGCACTTTTACACGTTTCGGGCGTATAGCCCCTCATCAGTCAACTGATAAGAAGAAACATTTACATTCGATTATTACATTTTGTAAAAATTATATAACGATTCTAAAACATGTAACTTTTAAGACATACCATTTAAAAATTCAATGACACTCGTACAGCACAAGTTATTATTCACTGCTGTTAGGATAAGTTGATAACATTGATAACATAAACCTACATATATTAAATTAAAAAATAAAACGCTGTATAATTATACACGCTTATACTGATAACCCACAGAACTATATTAATTTTTGTTTGCTATTGTTTCTTACTGTTAAGTAGTCATGACACATCCTTTATCTTCTTACTAAAGTTGATAAATATATAGGCAGAATCCTTTCTAATGATTAATGAATATATTTGTTGGTTTCTCACAACATTTCATTTGCGCATAACAGAAATCAGATAAACGTTTATCTGATTTCTATGTGCAAATGAAATGTTGTGAGAAATTTAATAATTAATATATTTATTTATGTACTTTATTAATATTTAACATAAACTTTTATTATTTAAAACGATGCAATATATGAAATTTCAGATATGACATTTTTTGTGTAATGCATGTTTATTACTTCTACAGTCGTGTAAGTAGGATTGTATTTTTAAAGATTTATATATTTATTTATTTTTTAGGTTGTTACATCACCCTAAACTTTATAGACACATTCACAAACAACATCACGAGTGGACCGCCCCCATCGCTATAACAGCAATGTATTGTCATCCTATAGAGCACTTGTTGGCTAATGTGATTCCACTGTACATTGGTCCATTGCTGAAGAAGAGTTTTCCATTTACCATCTTTCTATGGTTTACTACATCTATTATCATAACATTGATCGAGCATTCTAATTATCATCTTCCAATTATAAAACTAAGCGAAACGCATAATTTTCATCATAAGAGGTAAATATATACGTCTATAACTTGATTTTACCGGTTTATTTAAAATAACTAATGCGTTTTATTTTATTTTTTTGACAACTAGACATATGCAGAATACGCCATTGTCTTCTACTTTTTTATTTTACATGGTTATTTTTTATTTGTCTTCGATTTTTAAATAAATTCGTCGTTTTCGACTTTTTAAATAAACACATAAACACACCCTTATTGGACCATGTTTAGATTACGATGTAAATCTAAATTACAGAGTAATTTTTGTATTGTACTTGGGAAAATGTTTCTAAGACTAAACAGTGTGTTTTGTCAGATTATATAATTTAAAAAAAATTACAGTATAATTAAATTTATTTGCCCTAATTAATGCAAATTTTTTATTATTTTGTTATAATTTATACTTTTATATATTTGTTATTCATCGCTTTCTGTATGTTTTTACATTTTTATTTAACTTTGTTAATTAATTCACAAAATATTATAGTAAGAAATATTGTAAACAAACCCACGTGTTTCTGCGGTCACGTGACAGATCACGTGACCGCAGAAACCCCTGCGGCGGATGGGGTGACACCATTCTATTTCCTGTGACTTTCCTATGACGTAAAGCTATCTAAGAAATAAAAATAATTTTATATATTAAATGTTTTCCATTATATAAAAGCATTATTTCAGTAAATAAATTTATTTCTCATTGTTTAGTTATTTATTATTAATTACATTTAAATATACAGTAGAACCTCGAAAACTCGGCTCTCGATAACCCGGCACTCCGGATAACTCGGCCACACACTGGCAGGGCAAAAAAATCCTTAGTTAATTAATTTTCATTATAGACAGCTTTATAAAAGTATAAAAGCTCTCATAAAGTATTTTTCTAAGGTCTGTCTTACCAGGTAAATTACTGTACACAGTGTATTCATTAATTTTCATTTTCATGTAGTAAAGGCTCTATGCCTTCATAAAGGACGTACTTTTCCTTTGTTTAAGGGTATTTGGGCAGTTTATTCTCTGTTATATTCTCAAGTAAACAATANATTTTGCTTTATCAACGCCATTAATTGACAAACCTGAACATTCATTACTGATGTCTATCTAATTTTGACCCTTTAAAACAAACCAGACTCGAAAGGGTTCAACAAAAAGAAACAAGCTATAAAAAATAATATCCCGACCCGAAATTAATCTGTAATTTATTAACATTTATTTTTTTGCTCCACACAAAGAATATTTTGCCTTATCAACGCCATAAATTGACAAACCTGAAGATTCATTACTGATGTCTATCTAATTTTGACCCTTCTGAACAAGCCTGACTCGAAAGGGTTCAACAAAAAGAAATAAGCTATAAGAAATAATATTCCGACTCGAAATATATCGAGGAATATAAATATATATATATTACGTAAAAGAGGAAGCGATCATCAAATATATATATAATTCATCTGTTTATGATCGCTTCCGCTATGAGAACATCAACAATCTTAATATTCGACAAATTTACGTCATGAGTAATATGATCAAAAATTCACGTGATCAGCTTTTACATGTGAGGGGATCGCTTCATATAATGTGTTATAATTCGTGAAGATATATAAGTATACGAACATAATATACATGAAAATGTAGAAAACAGAATTCTCCATTTAAATAGCATATAGCCAAACAGAAAATATGAGTTGAGATAATTTTACTGCGATTTGATCGGACACGATTTTACAAGTCATTAACAAGAAAAACGAATTTATTTTAAAAGAGTAAAACACACAAGCAAATGAAAAATATACGAAACAAAACTACTATTACTGGCATATTAGCAATATTTTTTTCATACTTCTATTTTAAAAATTTGATTTTATAGAATTTTTGAAATAATACAAGTACATTGACACAAATGACCTTCAACCGGCCCCGACGTTTCTATGACCAAGTTGTAAAACAGCTACCTGCCCGCACCTGAGGTCGAGGGGGTAAATCCTTTCGAGCTCGCAGGTGCGCGGCGGGTCCATAAACCAAACTGGTTTGAGAGATAGTTGATTCTCGCTGGCGCAGAGATGTTCCGGCGTTTTTAAGTTTAATTTTCTTGATAACAATACATTCTACGCATAAAAAGATTACATCATCGTTTTCTTTTGTTATTATTCTACATATTCGTATATATTTTGGATTTTATTTTATTATAAATTTGTCATTTTCGATTTTTATAAAAACATACTACTTAGATAGCAGTGTGCCATCTTTAGTATCGAAGTAAATGTTCCTTTTTCTCTTCGTTTCTTTAATTTTTTCCTAATTTTTTGTGATATTACAAATTTATTTAGTTCATTACATATTTCTATTACACTTCTNATATATTATTAAAAAAATTTTTTTAACTTTGCGTCAACTTTACAAAATAAAGGACAAAATGCTTATTTTAGAAAATAAATAAAGTTAAAGGACAGAGCAGTGAAATAAAGGACTGTCCTCTTAAATAAAGGACGTATGGTCACTGTATCCATAACGTACCACTAAATATCCAAATGGCACCACTCACCGATCAGCTGAATGACGTCAACCCACCCACATAGGAATGCCGGTCAATTATATTTTGTGGTCGTCAGAACGAAGTCATGTTGTCCACAATTAATTCTGAGCATTAAATATTTTTATGATATACAGGTAACCCCCGTATAACACGGTAGTTACGTTCCAAAAAATTGCCGTGTTATGCGAATCCGTGTTATACGAAACAAAGAACTAATACGAAAAGGAGGGTTAGGTTCCAAAAATTAAAAAAAATGCTAGTATATTTTCATAATTAAGATAAATATCTTCATTAAAATTTTTTTAAGTGATACATATTAATATAAATTAAACAATGTTTTCTTCGTCATCACTAAAAACACTATTAATTAACCGAGAGCGTTTTCTTTTTGGCAAGTTATCCTTATCCTCTGAGCATTTTTCTGCATTATCTTCAGATCCATGCTTTACCTTTTGCAAAATGTATGTAATTTTAGATTGCTTGCTTCTAGTTAAAAGGTCTTTATAAATTTCCTTATATGGTGCTAAGCACTTATGAAGAATAAAGCAAGTATGGAATAAGGGAAAAACATTCGGCAACATCAGAAGCAGAAGCGTCGCGATCTGGCAACATTGAAACAAGTTTCGAGAAGGACCACGTGTATCGACAGAAGGCGAGAAGAGAAAATTTACATACTTAAGTACTAATAGTTCACGAAAATAATAATTTTCGTGAACTATTATTACTTAAGTATGTAAAAATTTATTACATTTCCTGTTGTACGAGGGTTTTACCCAATTCTCGAACCGTGTCAGAGTGAATCCGTGCTATAAAAGTACCGTGTTATACGGGGGATGGTACCAATTCTCGAACCGTGTTAGAGTGAATCCGTGCTATAGAAGTGCCGTGTTATACGGGGGTTACCTGTATTTTATATGAAAATTTTTAAAATTAACTTAATTTGCTTAGAAAATAGATTATTTTTTTAGTTGTAATATTGAGTGAGTATAAAGTGAAAATATAGTACAATGTTTAGCTTGCACGTTTTCTTAAGTTTATAAGAATAATTTAAAAATGGTTTAATTTTACTTGATGAATTACTAAGATTATTTATTTATTTGAACGAATTTTAACTTCATAATTGGTCTTTATACACCTCTGAACCAAATCAAACACAATCGATAATTTTAATATTGTGATTAGTGTTTTAAATTTAAATATACGTGCACAGATAATGAATAACAGAAAATTTATATTTATTCATAAAAAGTTCGAGAAAGGATGAAATTTATAATTGAGACAAGTTAATTAGCAAAATCTTTGAGTAATTAAAAAAGTGACATCATCATGCTGAATGGCAGTACGTGTACTTATGCCGGGTTTTCGAATCGTTACGCATTAATCAGTGCCGGCCCGAGCAAACTCAGCACCCTAGGCAAATGACTTTGATGTCGCCCCATTTAAAAAAAAATTAGCAACAATATAAAACACCAATGTAAAATAGAGTATCTAATTTTTATTCAAATACGTAATAAAACAGCATAGACAGGATTGTGATCAAAAAACATTTATTTTTTATTATTTATTGTAATTTATGCATGTAGGCCTACTTTCGCCATGCCGCCCTTCCGAATTCCAGCGCCCTAGGCCATCGCCCGGTTCGCCTATATGGGCGAGCAGGCCCTGACATTAATTTCCGCAGTAATTGTACAAAATATTCGAAATAGTTGTTGGATGTATCTCAACTGAATATTTTTCAAATTGATTGATAAATAATGCCGAGAGCTGTGAGAGCACGAATAGCAAAAAGAAGTTATATAGCTATTATTGTTCATAATTATGGACAACGTGAATCTACAGCAGAGCAATCTCAAAGACTGGAAGAGCAACGAATTCGTTCGGCTCAGAATCGAATGCGATAGCGAGGAATTTTTTAGGTTTTAAATCAATATAACTTATTCAGAAGATTTATGATTTTATTCTTTTTTTATATTTTTCAATAAATTACAGCGATACTACACATTGATCACCAAAAATAATGAAAAATTACCGTATATCTGCGCAGATAAGACAACAGTTAAATCATAAAAAAGGCTCCCAAAATCGGGAGTCGTCTTACAGGACAGATACAAAAGAAAAAAAAAATTAGATTAAAAATTATATAAATTAAATCCATTATAAAATAAAATAAATCACTCACAAATGAACTTAAATAACCCATACGACGTTTTTGTGAATAGTCAAGGTCATTACTCGAATGCCTGAATCAGTGCCAATGTTTGCAATAATCGCAAGGCAGTACTGTCAGATGCAAAAAAAATAAAATTTGTTCATTAGAAAAATTACGAATAGAAATAATTCCGTATATTCTATGCAGTATTGTTATTCAGACGATGATTGCTGATCTAAACTAAATTCATAGGCCGTTGATAGTTTGGGGTTCATCTTATAGGACAGATATATAGTAAAACTATAAAACTTTGACGAAAATTTATACCTCGTTT